TAAAGTAATTAAAACGTCAATCAGCGATATCACTACTTCACGTAACGTTCTGAGATTTAATGTTTTATTTTGACGCGGGAGAATATTGCACGATGTTACTGTTATGCCCGCTTGCCGCCAACTGGAAGTTGGCTGCAGCCGGATATGCTAGGTATTTTTGTAGCGGGAAAATGTTGCATCTTTGAAATAGCTATGTGATAAAGTATGGATGTAAAATTCAAACTTTGTCTCTTATATTTAATAATGTCAATGAAGCAAATATAAATATATTTCTGTTGTGAAAAATTCCAAATTTCTATAATTAATTCATGAACTAAAATTATTAATTATTCCATTATACTAATGAAAAGACAAACCATTGGCAATGATTCAAACACTCTATGCAATAATCGCCAATAATGAATTAAATAACAATGAATTCATATCCAGACTTATATTAGAAGGCTCGCTAAGGCTGTGTCTTCGCGATGCAATTATAAAAGTTGATGAATTAATCATAGACGTACATTAAGTCACAAATGAAAGCGAGTGATTTTGTTCTTGGTAAGAAGAAAATGAAACTGCGATGGTTATATACTTAGGTACCTTTTATTCACTTTGGAAGTTTAACATATACACGTTAATTATTAACAACATAATTCTTCGATTCTTTTTATATATCTCTCAATTTATTTTGTACACTTTCCTTCATTACTTGGAAAATATAAATATAAGACAGTCAGTGAAAAATCCTACTTTCTATAACATAGTTATAATGTAAACAATAAACTAACTCTTTCTCCTTCTTTATAACTTCTAATTCTTCTTGAGTTTTTACTTCGTCGACACTTTCCCAATCGCTATTGCAGTCTTCCTTCCTCTTTTCATTTGCAAGTCCAAGTAGTTCAACAGCTAGTTGTGAGCTTAATTTTGGATCAGTTAAATGATCATGAGCTGATTTGCCCTTACCACTAAATTTTTTATTTAATATCACAGATTCTTCTTCATCTTCCTCTGCTTGTTCACCAAATGATAAAAGATTGAAATCTATGTAACAAAATTTTTCATTGTAAAGAACAGTACTATCACGACAAAATTCAGCAAACATATATGATTTTTACTTTACTGCTAGTTTTTTGAACCGTCCTTTACTTCTTCACTTTTCTGTACTATTATTCTTGGTATAATATCAGGAAATGGATTGTTCAATATTTCAGTTTTTCTCATTTTTGGAGGATAAAGTGGCCTTTCATTCTACAAAAAAAGAGGAAATATTATATTTATATTAATTCTTGATACATTTTTTTGTAAACATTAAATTTACCTCATCTACAAGTACTTTTTCAAGTTTAAGCATGTTATGTATAGTTTCTCCAGTAGAACTAAGAAAAGAAGAATTGGGAACCATTGTCATCTTTCCCAGCATTAGCCATTAGAATTAAATCTCGTGAAAAAAACGTAATCTTGTATGATATTTGTCCTGAAACACATATATCTAATAATTATTTTTGAATAAAGAAGGAATTCATTTTATTTTTAAATATAGTCTCACTTCAAATGGTTCTCCATATATGTTACCACCTTCTCGTGTACCTGTGGGATCACTACCTTGTGTTATGAATCCCTTGATAATTGTATGAAATATAGTGTCATCCTAATAATATGCCTTTGGAGTTTCTTTTGCCCATAATTCTAACTCAATACCACCAACAGTTGTTTTCATTATAACCTAGTTATAACAAATATATTAGTTCTATTAATGTAAAATATTTTTAAAATCAAATTTATTAAAATTTATTATTTATTATTGTAATTCAAATTAGAAATTATTTAATAAAAAATACTATTAACTAATACTTATTACTTTACCCTTAGTGGCTGGCTCTTGCATATAAATATAACTCATGTTTGTAAACCTCCTATAATAAAAAGAATCCTTTGTCAATAATATTTCATATTAAATCTTTAGTCATTTACAAATCAGTCAACGAAATGGTTCTTTTCTCGAATAATCATATAATAAGCAG